TTATAAAACAGTAGCATTTTAAGGCCTAGACGTGTCATTGGGCAGGGTAAGTAATCAAGTAAAGCTGGCATGGGATGGCACAAGGCCTCTAGGTAAGCAGAGGGTCTACGATCTCTGATTTGACCCCTGCTTACTATGGTTGGATTGATGGATGTAGGGCCCTGGCACCATGTTGCATTGCAGAGTGTGAGATGTGTGTTCCGGGCAGGATGAGCATCTGCAAATCTCAGTATGAATTTCAATCATACATGGATGTACAGTCTCCTCCCAGATGTTTATAGCCATCTGTTTTGAGCTCCACAGAGGGAACCCAAAAACTTCAAGTCACAAAAGTTTGTGGAATGGTGGAAAATGGGTCTCAAAGAATGAATATGAAAAAATAATCATGCAAAATAAGATTTTAAAATTTGTGAAAAAGATAAAAGAAAATCAACTTTTTTGAAAACTTTAATTTTTTGTTTGAGTTAAAAGTGAACACACAGAGGGCAAGTTTGGAACATGAAAAGAATGATTATAAATGAAAGATATTGATCCAAAAAAAGTTTCAGCATGGTGGGTGGACACACCCTGCAGTCAAAATCAGTAGATTGCAGTACCAGAATGCCACATTTCTTGATGAATGATCCCCTAGGCACCTTTTTTAAAACACCAAGTAGTCATTTTTTTCCAAATTTTCACTTTTTATCATTCATTCCAGATCTCATACTATCACTTTGGAAATTTCATCTTTTCCTGAAAGAAAAATTGAGGCTGTCAGTTTTTGTGATTTTATCCTTTTTACTTTTTACAAATTTTAAAATCTTATTTTTTGTTATTATTTTTTCATATTCATTCTTTGAGACCCATTTTCCACCATTCCACAAACTCTTGTGACTTGAAATGTTTGGGTTGCCGGTGTGGAGCTCAAAACAGATGGCTATAAACATCTGGGAGGAGACTGTACATACAGAATCTGGGTATGGATTTCAATTGTACAGAGATGTACAGACACAAACATCTGTATTGTTTGTCAAGATGAGGTTTTTGAGATTCAAGCCACCTCTGGAGGAGGTTTGAAAGGTTTTGAGCTCAGTTTTGAAATGAAAAAGAAAAGGGAAAAAAATCAAAACAAAGTTGCAACACTTTTTGAATCATTTCAAGTATATTTTAAAAAGTTGTTTATAATTGGGGGCTATATTGTGAAACTCACTATTTCTATTGCCATCTTCCTTCCAGCTCTTCCCTTTTGATAAATTCCCCCTGCTTATCAGTTTCATGCATCTTGACATTATATGTTCAATTCCAAGATTTAAACATCTCACCACTGGAATTTTTTTTTGTGCTTTATTCTTTTAACATGTATAAGTTCAAATTAATTTTGTAAGGCCTAACTCAACACAAGTGCCTTGACTGGTGGGCTTGGTAGAGCCAAACTAGCACAAAGCAAATCTAAGAAGGGGGGACACTTGCAAGCAAATTCCAAACTTTGGCATGGGTAATAGGAGCTCTTTGATGAAGAAATAGTTTCCCTTCAAGTTCTGTCATCTTCCTATTATAACTACCTTTTCTCAATTGGTGGGACTTGATACAGTTTGGTCTGAAGAGAAGAGGCTTAACACTGATGATTCAGTTCAAATGATAAAGATAAGAAAAAAAATTCAAAATACCATCATTAAATCCTTCTATGATACCAAAGGTGGGCTGCTACGCTACAGGGCCACTTAGTGTTAGTGTAGCAACACTAAAAGTGGCCCCTTTCTTGTGTAGTGTTAGTGTACCACTACCATCACTATGCTACACTAATTTGTAGTGGCGCTCACAGTGGCTTTTTTGTGTAGTGTAAGTGCACCACTACCAGTACTACGCTACAGTGCTTCTAGCGGCAAAAAAGGCCAGAATCCGCTAAAAAGTACTGCAATGCAGCTTAGCAATAGCGGGAAATATTATGCGCCCTGTGCGCATAGCATTAGTGCAATTCCAAATTTATGTGCTAACACTATGCTAACAGTTAGCACACTTTTGCATCCTTTGCACATATCATTAGCACAGAAATGTGGAATTGCACTAACACTGAACTGAAAATTAGTGTATTTTAGCTATGCCATGCCACACTGATGCTACAGTTAGCATAGCTGGCCCACTGCTGCCCATGGACATGCTCCATTTCCTGGTTCACTCCCAACAAAGCTACAAGATTAAGAGGATTCAGAAAATCAAATCCAGGTGGTGGGGGGAGTTTGATGTTTATGTAGTTGTGACAAAGTTCCTTAGAATTGGCAAATTTGGCTTCCCTCTAAGCCCAAGATTACTGCTACCACATGAGTCATTTGTACAGAGTGCTGTACTGCAAGCTGAGGGACTTATTC